TCTGGAGACTTGCAATGCAGACTTGCTGTAATTGTGCAACAAAATTGTGAAGCTTGGCAAGTCTGCAATAGTTTAGCAAGTCATTTTCAAACTTACAGCCCAATTGCTTGCTATCTGGGTGGCTCTTTAAGTCAGAAGAGACACGAGCTCTGTTGAAACCTTGCAGTTTATCTACGGCTTGTTAAGCACACACTCACACATCCTGGAATTCTTACAGAGTGTCATAGAGCACCCTCAGTTTCCTAAGGAAACAAATTGATTGTTACATTGTTAGTCAGGATGAAAAAAGACACATGTCCATCAAGTTCAACCTATAGAGATTGTTATCTTCTGGCATTACGTTATTCCACAACAAGCATTTAGAAAATGTACATAGGTGTCCTTAAGTTACCAGGAGGCAATTGTGATGTAGTCAGTTAGACCACATTTTGAGCCAGTTGGACCAGTTATTCAACTCTTTCCTTAGAGTCTCTATGTAGATCTGCAGTTGTCATGGTGCTGCTTGTGTGATCAGTCATGACACCAAACATTTGAGAGCTTGACAGTTCAGAAAAAAGCTGACATTGAAGGGTATCTATGGTCAAAAATGAAAAATAAGTCTGTGTTTCTATATTGAATTTCCATAAGTTCTATCCCACCCCTTCGTCATCTCATGGTATCGGCGAGTACCGAAAAAAAATTATCAGTACTCGTACTCGGTACCAAAATACCGGTATCGGTGCATCCCTACTTATAACCATATGAATCTAGAAGTTTGTAAACTTATTTATTGGAGATGTCCATAGGGTGTACTTCTTCAATGCACTGCCACAATTTCACTCAGCCCTGTGAATACTCAATTCTGAAATCAACATATGAACAATGTAACATTATCATTGCTTGCTGGAAGCAATGCATTATGGGATATGCGGCCTCAAGAAAACAAGATTGCATCACACCAAGCAGCAGGGAAAGAGATGCAAAGCACACTGGGAATACAGGAAGTTCTTGAAAGTGATGGGCAGACGGAAGGCAGCACTCACTACATAAAAGGGATTTTTCAAGCTTTGATTGCATTATCAAAAACAACTCTAGTATGTTACAATCCTGATTTTATAACAGGAGAGTATATGCTGGGACTTGACACCTCCTTTTAGTGCTACGTTTTAATGCCTGAGCAGATTACCCTGAAATTCGTGAAGAGTGTCAAAGATACTCTTTAGAAATTTTTCTTGCGGTATTGCAAAAAATGGCAGAACTTGCAACAGATTCACAGATTGTACCTGTCGGTAAGGTGTACATGAATCTGTCGCTACTCTGACAGAACTGGCACAAGCATCTCTCCTACCACATGGCGGCGTTTTACAGGCAAGAAAACTATTTAGTGAAGTTGGGAAAGTAATGGAAACGTATTAAACATCAGTCTCATAGGATCTTTAAGACAAATGTAAAGAATTCCTCAGGAAAAAAAAATCCCCACCGATGATCTGACCTGCTTGTGTTGCGGTTCATGAAGTCACATGTACCCAGCTTCCTTAGATAGGTTCCATGAGGATTTTATTTGCAGAATTGTCTCACACATGTGACACAATACATATACATACAACACAATTTACTCCAACCTGGAAAAAAATCCTATTTTCCTCCATTTTCTCTACCATAAGCATTTGTTATACATTTTTAGCAACACTAGCGACATACAGTGAAATTGTCGCATATAAGAACTATAAGAACTGGCCAGTCAAGGGTTCTGTAATTGGGAGCTCCTCTTGATCTGGGGACTCAGTCAGAAAAAGCTATGAAACCAGAAGCACACACAGGAGTGTGCATCTCATGGCTAAGGTTTGGCCGTAGGTCTACTGCCTACAGGCATTAAAGCAATATTAAACTCTCAAATATTTTTTAGTAATGAATTCAGATCAAATAAATATATATATTGCTCAGCAAAGTATTTCTTTACATTTTTTTCCAAAGCACTTACAGTCATCATGTTGCAGAACTGCTGGCTCCCTCTCTCTTAGTTGGGCTTCCCTGAAATTCCTGTCCAGTAAAAGATCACAAGGGACAGAACAATCTCCAGCAGCTCTCCATCTATTAGCAAGGAGCAGGGAGTAGGAAGGAGGGAGGAGAGGGGAGCAGAGTGGAGGGGAGTGTTTTGCCTTCCTGTGGCTGTGTGTTTGTGGACACACACACAGCTTAATAGCACACAGAAAGGTGGCTCCATAGAACCCTGCAAGGGTAAGAAGCCACCCTAAAACAGGACATTATGGCCAGTACTCAGGGGACCAGCTGATTCTGCGGGAAGCTAAAACTTTTAAACATCAAGGAGAAGCATCCATTGTAAGTGATGTAATCAGCATTTGAAATAACTTTAAAACATTTTGAGTTTAGCATCACTTTAAGGGGTTAAAGTAAATTTTGTTCTGCACCATGAAGCTTTTGTAAACATGCTTAGTATCCATGTGTGCTTCTCAAAGTGTTGTTGCTAAACTGAAGCCAAAACTTTGTTTTTAGTTTTAGATTTAGGTTATAACCTCTGTCAGCTTTTTTTCCCTTCACTTCCGGTCTATAAAACCACAACAGGAAGTGAAAAGGAATCCTTCCAAAGCGAGGGAGACCTTGTGGTCAGCAGGGTCACAAGAACTAGTGTCCACACTGGAAGATTTTTCATCTATTCCTGTTATGATGACAACCCATCATTTTGGATTTTATTTCACTTTCTGTGAGAATGGTCATCAGGACAAGTAGAGAGGGTGAATCTCCCTAACAGAGATACAGACAGCAATAAAAAGCTGACAGGGGTCTTAATCCCTCTCCACTCTATCCAAAACAAGATTAGGCTTCTGCTGCACTTTAATGTAAACATATCTTGGCACAATTGACTACATATTACTGGCTTTCATGAATATACTGTATAAGATTTATAAAGATCATGACACTCCTAACCCACAAAGTCATTCTGAAAAGTCCGTGTTTATTGTGCCGCTCTATTAAACCCGCAGGTCACGTGTACAGACGTGTGTACATTTAACCTGTTCTAGGCTATGTCTTGTTTGCACAAAACAGCTCATATGTAAGACAAGGTAACATTGCAATGACCTAGGCGTGCTCCAATTTGTTCTTCCCTATTTAACATAATAATCCTTGTTATTGAATCTTTTTATTCTGGTGACATTTTGTATTTCACTTTTGTCACTTCTTCATTCCTATACTTCCATAAAGTGGAATTCCACCTTTCACTGCGTTTTTTTCCTAAATTTGCCAGAGCTGCCATATTGTAATGTACACAGTATATTTTTACTTACTTACTTTTTTTTTTTTTATTCAGCACAGTAGATCCATTCTGGCTTGATGAGCTTTTTTGTTTTAAATTGCCCCATTTCATTTATTTGTTACAGGTTGTATACTGCCGCCCTCCTCTCACATTTACGGTGTCTCCTTTTCCTAGTAAGTTGCAAAGGAGAGACCTGTGTGTGCTTGCTCACAGCCACTGACGCACACAGCACTCGTTAGATGGGTATAAAATGGCCTCAGAAAGTATTCTTTTTTTTCAATAACTGGTGAATGGGTGGGATGGGAGAGAGCGTCGCTCAGAGATGGGTTTTACAGTATATCAAAGTTTTTTTTCCCACCATCCCATCTAACAATACCTATCCATAGAGGCTGTTGTATCTATTGCTCCCTCTCACGTCACAGCTCTCTAGTAATCACTAGATAGCAGAAGGATCAGTAAAGCTCAAACACTTTTTAGAACTGCAATGCAGGAAGCGGAACCTGGGTTCTTTATCTTCTTAATACGTAACAAGTTTGAATTTGTTACATATTAGGAAATGATGGCTGCTATATACATATAAAATGACAAACCATACAAGAAACACATTTTTCAAACATTAAAATAAATTGGGTTTTTTTTTTTTTTACATCAATAAGACCTTTTTACCTGTATAGCTAAACAATAATTATAAAGACTTTACATTTCTTTTATTAGCAACATCCACTGAGTATTGCTCCATGAAAACCACTTCCCATGCAGGTGCTATGTCCCAGGCTTTGACACTGTACACTGACTTGTAAATCAAATACCTAATTTAACTTTTAATGTATTATTAATGTCAGGGGTAGGCAACCTAGGCACTCCAACTGTGGTTAAACTGCAAGTCCCATGAGGCATTGCAAGACTTTGGCAGCCACAAGCATGACTCCCAAAGGCTTTTGTAGTTTCAGCTGCCTAATTCTGATTTATGATATGGAAGATAGAATTCCAGGTAAACCTTTGTAATAGAATTATTCCAGATTAGGAAGATCAAGACTGTTGGCAAGGTTCCTGTGAACAGTGTAACTTGTAATAAATAGAGTAATAAATAAGGGTGTGATTAATACAGTTGCTATGAGATCTATCAGAAAAGACATATGGAGAAAATTATGCACAACATTGCAGTGTGTTCATGGCAGATCATCCCTTAGGGCCCATTCACACCACATCCAGATCAACTCCAGATCAGACCAGATTGTTTCCGGACCCTATGCTATTTCTGGCCTCTGTTCACACCAGCGCAATCTGTTCCAGACCAGACCAGAAAAATACTACATGTCTCATTTTGTCTGGTCTGGAATGCACTGAAACTGCGGGCAGGTTCACACCATTTTCCAGACCAGATCTGGTCCGCAAAATGGTGTGAACCTGCCCTTAGACTGGATATACAAGGTTAGAATTGCATTTGATATAATGTATCTTCAGAAGTTAGACCTTCATTATTGTAGTTAATGGGTCAAATTGAAGGAGGATGATGGAAAAAATGTTTCGAACATAATTCAGTGAATGTAAAACAATGAATGTGGTTTTCATTCGAGAAACCCCATCCATTCCAAAATCAAATGTTAAAATCAAACATAATTTCAAACGAGGCATATCCAAAATGTGTCTAATTTTTGTGAGTTTTAATTGCAATTTGTTATTTTTGGGGTTCTCTTACTGGTTACTACGACAATAACAGAATTCTATATTGTTTCCTTTATTCCAGGAGCTTTGTTACCATTGATGTGTCCGCACAACATTTCCCAAGCATGGTGTCTAATAATGAACACAAGTCAAAGTCCATCGTCATTCATCCCTGTACAGAACAGCAGCCAGTCCAGCAACGAGACCAACCTGAGCATTGCCACATCATTTGGAAACAAATACAACCTGTACATTGGCTTAATATTAGCAGCCAGCTCCAGTCTCTTTATCGGGTCAAGTTTCATCATGAAGAAGAAAGGCCTCTTACGGTTGGCTGAAAAGGGAGTCACCAGAGCAGGTGAGGAAAATAAGATGTGTTTGCTTATGATAAGATAAGCACCCTATTTCAGATAATGGTCATAGCATGTGTTATACATTAATGTCTCGGAAATGTACTGTCACCCGGGTCACGAGTCTGAATGTTTACACGTCACACACATAACAAAATATTTCCAAAGTCATAAACATGTCATAGTTCCGGTTTAGAAGTACCTAGTGGTACTTGTAAATTTACAGTCTATACAGAACAATAATGATTGAAGGCAAAAGCTACGCCTAGGTGACACAGGCAAAGTGAAGAAAAGTGTGTGTGAATCACAAGACTGGCTGAACATGAATACAATAAATATTTTGCTGGCGGTTCATTATATTTACACTCAAACCTTGTTACTCGCATATCTGAATAACTAGATCATTAAAGGGCTTTTTTTGTGGGTAATGACCGATTAATTCCCAAGATCACCAGGGGATGCTAAACAATGACAACTACGCAGAGCCGGCCGTGGCGTTACGACTGGCTCTGCCCAGTTGTTATTCATGCTCGGCAGCATTCGGCTATTCACTCACTGCCGTTCGGCTTCTATATGAATAGGGGCGAATGGCAGCGAGTGAGCTGACGGAGCTTTGGATCAGCCGATCCAGATGTTGGATCGGCTGAGTCGCAATCCTTCTGCACTTCGGCTCAGCCGAACATGCAGAGCATGTTCGGCTGACCGAAATGCAGCCGATGTATGGCTGATTTCAGCCGATGTACGGCTGAAATCAGCTGTACAAGCCTGAAGTGATTAGCGAAACAACGATCGGCTCACTTCACTTCGGGTGGGTTATTCACTCTGCTGCCTTTGGCAGCTTTGTGAGTAACCCTTTAAGCATATTTTCCGCTCAGGCTGAATGTAATGTAATATCAAATTGTGGCCACTAGATGGAGCTGAGGTGCATTGGAAAGAAATATTTATGTCTTAGGCTCCAGCTCCGTCTAGTGCATTGGTTCCCATGCAGTGTCCCCTGTCCTGCCACAGTATCACAGTACCAAAAGAGCGTTGCGACACCTTCTGCAGTGAGTCGTGGCATCCTTCCTGCAACTCTCAGCAGCCCATGGCTGTGCTCAGCTCTGTAGGGATCATTGATTTGAACTTTCAGTGTGTACTTTGAAAACATATAGATCATCGGATTGATTTTTGGCTACAACCGTGTATAACCTTTCATAGAAAGAGAAATGATAAAAGGCAAAGGACTTCAACCGCAAAACAAACAAGTAAAGTGTGCAGAGGAGGAACGTGCATTCTGGGACTAGAATGACTATTATTGTTTCTGTTAGGAGAACCTGGTCAGACCATTTGACTGAGAATGGTGAAGGGAACACGTCGGGATCAGAAAGCATATGTAGCTCTTGGTGGGCACAATCATGGACCACGGAGGGTTTTGTTTTCCCTTTTCCAGTTCTGTTAGAGTTTGTGGAAAGTTGAAATTTATAGATTCGGGTGTTTCTCCTTGCAACAATGTGTAAATGAATCATTATTTGATCCTGGGATCAATCTTTATGCACATTTACAACATTTCTACAATCATTTTCCATTCGGCATCAACAAAACTCATTTGAAAATTCGACTTTGGGTAAACCGGGTGGCGTTGGCAGACCACCTATGGATCAACTTTTGGCCAATTGAGCAGGAGACGTCCGATATTCCAACTGGAGTATGACCAGTTTTATTTAGACTGTAATGAGATAAAGGACATTTGTAGAAGGGACCGTTGTTTGTGGAACAGCCTCTAAGAGCCGATGTGAACAGATGTTTCTGTTTAGAAGAGCTTGCTATCAATGCACATTGTGAGTGAGGGCCCATTCACACCATAGCACAATACCATGCAAATAACGCATGCTATCACACAGCGCACCTAGCATGCATTATCGCGCAGGAGGTGCGTTACCATTCATTGAAGAGAAAAGTATAGGTGAAGCAGAGAACACTAGGTGAAGTATAGAGTATGTACAGTAAGTAAAACACAGAACACTAGGTAAAATACGGAGGCTGTAGGTAAAACACAGAACACTAGGTAAATTATGGAGGCCTTTAGGTAAAACACAGAACACTAGGTAAAATACGGAGGCTGTAGGTAAAACACAGAACACTAGGTAAAATACGGAGGCTGTAGGTAAAACACAGAACACTAGGTGAAAGGTGGAGGCTGTAGGTAAAACACAGAACACTAGGTAAATTATGGAGGCCTTTAGGTAAAACACAGAACACTAGGTAAAATACGGAGGCTGTAGGTAAAACACAGAACACTAGGTAAAATATGGAGGCTGTAGGTAAAACACAGAACACTAGGTAAAATACGAAGGCTGTAGGTAAAACACAGAACATTAGGTGAAAGGTGGAGGCTGTAGGTAAAACACAGAATACTAGGTAAAATATGGAGGCTGTAGGTAAAGCACAGAACACTAGGTAAAATATGGAGGCTGTAGGTAAAACACAGAAAACTAGGTGAAAGGTGAAGGCTGTAGGTAAAACACAGAACACTAGGTATAATATGGAGGATGTGGTAAAACACAGAACACTAAGTATAAGGTGGAGGCTGTAGGTAAAACACAGAACACTAGGTAAAATATGGAGGCTGTAGGTAAAACACAGAACACTAGGTGAAAGGTGGAGGCTGTAGGTAAAACACAGAACACTAGGTATAAGGTGGAGGCTGTAGGTAAAACACAGAATACTAGGTAAAATATGGAGGCTGTAGGTAAAACACAGAACACTAGGTAAAATATGGAGGCTGTAGGTAAAACACAGAACACTAGGTGAAAGGTGGAGGCTGTAGGTAAAACACAGAACACTAGGTATAAGGTGGAGGCTGTAGGTAAAACACAGAATACTAGGTAAAATATGGAGGCTGTAGGTAAAACACAGAACACTAGGTATAAGGTGGAGGCTGTAGGTAAAACACAGAATACTAGGTAAAATATGGAGGCTGTAGGTAAAACACAGAACACTAGGTAAAATACGGAGGCTGTACATAAAACAGAGAGGCTGTAGGTGAAACATAGAGGAAATAGCAGAAATATAAAAGGATGTAGATAACACACGGAGGCTGTATGATAAAGTTGGACTCCAGACACAAAACCCATATTTAAATATATTCCTCAATAGCTACAAAGTATATAAATCCTATTTCTGTGCACCAAATGCCTTTGCAAGCTCAGTTATCACCTTGCAAAAGCAGTGGTGACATCACCGTGCTGTACACAGCCTGTGCAGAGAGAAGAGTTGTGGGAGGGACCCAACAGGCCCCACCCACTACAGGCTGCCTGCAGAAAACTACAGGAGGGGGCGGAGACAAGACCAGTGACCCTGCACAAGAAGAGAGAGCAGCAGTGAGCGGTCTTTATTGCAGGACGTCTCACGCTGGATTCCTGCCCAGATCTGGAAGCAATACACAAAGCACAGCAAGATTCCAGTAAGAATACACACGCCTCTTGTATTTAGACAATAGCTGCTTATCCCGGAGTTCAGTTTTAATAGGTGGCTCAGCACTAGGTTGTGATACTGGGCGTTGATGTTATGATTCATATAGTTCATGTTATTTTATAATTAGCATGCAGAATCATTATGTTCCAGCAGAACAAGATTACTATATGTATAGTCTTTCCAGTTTTAGACAATTGTACAGTGACAGTTTCAGTGGGATGATTTTTGGGTCTCTGGGGTTTATAAGCTATTTCAAATGCTGATTAAATCACTTACAGTGGATGCTGCTTTTTGATGTTTACAAGTTATAACTTCCTCCATCAGCTGGTCCCCTGAGCACTTGTCCTGATATCCTGTTTTAGGGTGGCTCCTTTCACTTGCAGGGTCCTATGTAGCCACCCTTGTGTGTGTTAGTAAGCTGTGTGTCTGAATCTGGGAGAGTTTCCCATGGCAACCAGTCAGCTTCTACCTATAATTTTCAAAGCTTACCTGAACAAACTGAAGAGAGATGCTGATTGGTTTCCATGGGCAGCTGCTCCACACTCTGTCTGCTCCAGTTGTGATAGATTCCCCTGAATGTTTCTGCTACCTTCATGACAAAATACAACATAAATGTAGGCCACTATTATTGCAAGGCCCCCAAACTAAAAGAAGTTCTGCTCAAAAAACAAAAACAGTTCTTCAGAGAGCCAAAACTATTATAAATCTAATTGCTCCAAGTAAACTGTCGGATAACAACCCCCCATGAATTAATGACTGACCTTCCTGAATATTCAGGGTGCCTAATTGTATAATGGTGATGGTGGAATCAGGAATGAACTATTTACTGTAAGTTCGTTTAAGAAGACAAGAGGCCACCACAGTGGTGTATTCTGGTTTGGGGCTGCCCTAGGCAAGATGAAACTAGGGCCCCCCCCCCCCCCCATTACATCTGCAGGATCTCAGGGGGGCTGTGCAGATCCTGCAAAGCCCCCGAGACCCTGCAGAGCCCACCACAGATCATGCACATCCCCCCTGAGACTCTCAGGCGGGCTATGCAGAATCCATGCTGGGCTCTGCAGGGTCCCTTTAGCAGCAGTGTGATCATCTTACCTGCTGCTTGGTCCCTGGCCTCCTCCACCGCTGGACTGGTGCTGCAGGACCTGGCCTCCTCTGCTGCCCAACGGCTCTTCTGTGACCCGGCTTCCTATGGCACCCTGGCCCCTTCTTGATCCGATGTCACCCTGGCCTCGCCACGCCCCTTCCTGCTGCTCCACCTCACCCCCTCCTGCTGCTCCGACTTTTCTGCCTCCTCCGCTGCCTCCTCTCTGCTTCCTCTGCCTCCTCGCCGACTCCGTCCTTTGACTCCTCCTCTGCCGCCCCCTCCGCCCAGATGCCTATTTGTTTTGGGGGCGACATTTTTGCTGCCCCCCAGAAAACTTCCGCCCCAAGGCAAATGCCTTGTTTGCCTCGCAGCAGATACGCCCCTAGGTCACCAAATGAAATTATAGGAAAAAAGGTATAACCTCAAACTGTGAAAGGGATTCTATGCTGTCTATACTTCTATACTTACCTACCAGTGGTATAGCGTGGGTTGTGCACCTCGAGTCCTTGAAGTCTCTGGAGATGGAGACAGAGATTTCGGTGGACACCGAGTGGCACGGGTGCCAGGGGTGCGGAGCACCGTGCAAGCCTTAGTCCGAGATCCGAGCCGAGGTCAAGTCCACTCTGGCAACGAAGTACACAACGGTTAATCAGAAGAATGGTCGAGATCCAAGCCGGGGTCGGTTCCAATCTGGCAGCTGAGTACAAAAGGGTAAAAGAAGTAGAATGGTCAAGGTACAAATCTGAGGTCAATGGCAGGCAGCAATCAAGAGTAGTCAAATAGGTTTCCAGGTTACAACAAGTTCAGAGAGCTCACACACTAGCACAGGAACAAGGGGGGACGGAAGATAATCCAGCAATTTGGCAGTGTCTGGGCTGGGCTTATATAGGGAAGTGATGATTGAAGTTTGAGGTCACTTCCTGTGCGCCTCCTGGGCATTTTCCCGCCTTTTTCCATCAGGTTGAGGTCACTTCCTGTGCGCCTCCTGGACATTTTCCCTCCTTTCTCCATCAGGTCTTCTGCGCATGCGCGGGTTGACACACTGACGAGTCGTTGGCGCGGATTTCCTCTTGCGGCAACGCGCCATTGGTGCATGCGTAGTAAGCCCTGGACTCTTACAGACCGGGGCAAGGCAAGTATTGTGCCCCCTACCCCACATGTTATGGGGGGTGTAACTATTTTTTTAATTATTATTTATTTCTTTCATTTTTTTCTTTACTGTCACGGGGCTTCAGATAAATATTAGGTGTCTAAACAGACCCCTGATATTTCCCTTTGAAATAGAAAAAGAGATTGAGGACACTGAATCCTCAATCTCTTTTTCTGCAGCCCCAGCACTGATGTAACTGGAGCACTCAGTACAGAGGCTTCCTGTTCATTCAAAAACTGAGGAGGCATAGTACTCTCCCCAGTTATGAATGGACAGGAAAAAGCATCTGTACTGAGTGCTCCTGTCCATTCAGAAACTGAGTAAGTGAATACTATGTCCCCCCCTCATAAAGGAACAGGAAGTGATGTGTAGTACTTCCTGTTCATTCATAACTGGGGACATAATAAGCTTACTATGTCCTCAGTTATTTACAAACACTGGAGTGGTTAGTACTGCTCACCCCGGTGTTTGCTCAGTACAGGGAAGGATCAGCAAATATCACACGTTTGCTGATTTTCTGCTCGGTATCCTGAAGCTCCACCTAGCCTGCACAGCCCCACTCTTCATTCTGACAGCCCTGCCTCGGCATCCTGACTGCTCATGTCATTGCCTTCTCCTCCCCGCTCTGCACAGGCAGCTGGATCAGCTCTGTATCCCCTCCATTCTCACTCCCTCTGCTACAGGGATCGGAGCGGGCACAAACCGCAGCATACAGCTGGTTCCCTGTGGGGAGGAGAGAGCTGAAGAGCAGCGGCAGTTTCTAACCTGAGCCTGGGACCCCCTGCTGGCCCGATGGGGCCTGGTACAGGAGCATTTCTAAAAATGTGGTGCCCATGGCAACCGCCCCCTGACACCATCCCCTTTCCCCCCTTCCCCAACGCTTAGTCCCTGTTACCTACTATGTAATTATATAACTATACGTTGCAAAATGAAACTAGAACTAGAGATCAGTGCTATAATCCATCAATATTGCATCTATCTATCTCTGACTGGATAAGAACAGAGCTCGTATAACGATCTTGTAAAGGTTTTATAATGTTTTTCCATGTAACACTTTTATTGAACGAGGGTGATGTTTTATTGGAGAAAGCCATGTATTGTGGTAGGTTTACATAATTTATTGGAGAATAATACCATGTACAGAGATTAGAGGTTTAGATACATGGGCAAAGCCCAGTTATTGCCGCCTCGTAGAGTCCAGGGGGCTAAAGTGTCTGATCACCTGGTGCCCATAAGGCTTTTCCACCCAACTGTCCATTAGAAACTACAAAAGTCCTGTATACTAGATAATGTTAGGATTGACGAAAGAGGTACCACTCCCACTTCTGTGGTTGCCCATAATACAGGAAGTGGGCAGTTGATAAAGGCTGGACTGTCCCATAATGCATTTGTAATTTGTATGTAATAAGATGGCCTATGTGAGTCAGCTTGGATGAAAATAAGGGCAGGGTTAGGGCTTCTCACTCTGAAAGAAGGTGCTCTTTGAAAAATGGGATTGAATGCAAAGTATGGCATGCGTGCTTTTGTGATCATATTACATTACGACCTGCAAGCAAACACCTGCAAGAAATATGGTACATGCAGAAAATCATATGGCTGAATTTGAATGTACACAGAGACATAGCTTGAATGTAGAGCTAGGCATATGTCTCAGTGAAGGACAGACTAGGAGGCTGTGGGAGGGGATCCCATACGAGCTATGACACAAAGAAGCGATCTTCCTGTTTCTCCTTTGACGGTTTCCTCTTTTCCTTTACCTGTAGCAGCCAAACTAAATTTACAAAACTTTATTGGGGTAACTGTCTGAATCTTCTAAACATGGTCAACAAATTGTCCAGGGCAACACATATCCAATCTGTATCCAATTATCTGCTCTGTATCCAATTATCTGCTCTGCATCCAACACCCCTTATTGCCCTCACTGCTATCTCTCCCATCTTATCTAGCATCTAACAATCACCCCACCACCAAAATCAACCTCCCACCACACTCCAATGTTCTGGAATGCTTCAGTATTCTACCATAATATCCAATCTGCCCATTTTTACACGGAATAGAAAGCAGCAGTTAAGAAGTAAGCTAAATGTTTTGTAGACATTTAGAAATCTTACATATGAATATTGGTAAGAACTTAGTCCTTTAGGGACAGTGGCAGGTTGCAGCTATGACCATGTTCTTATATAAAACGATTTAGTCATTTTACTGATTTTTAAACTATATGACCAAAGGTATGTTGATACCCCTCTAAAATTTTGAGTTTAGGTGCATTAAACCAGGTCCAAAAAAATGGTTTGAGTTTGGTGTAGGAATTGAAATGGTCTGCACAAAGCCCTGACATCAACAGGTGGCATTGCTAGGTCCCTCGTATCATCAAAATCGGCATACATGGGAGTACATGCACAGGTCAAAGCAGTGTGTGGGGACAGGGGGGTGTTAGAAAGAACAAGGAATATACTGGCCGGAGAAGAGAGCAGAGTGAGCCGGGGTTAACCTAACTGTGCTGCTACTGGTTCGCCATTCAGCCAGTAGGATGGGGGTGTATACTTGGCAAAGTAGTACTGCTGCTGCAGTGGAGGTCAAGGGCAATGGCTATGTTTTCTAGCAGGAGTGTCTGGATCACAAAACTGGCTGTTTAAAGTTATTAATCCATTGGTTGATAAAATAGTCCCTACTTTATCTATGGTATTTTATTTGTGTATTGAGCTGCTTGCCTGGTGATCAACTTTAAGTATTAACCAAGGAGTAAGCCTCCCTGCCTCTAACCAAGTATATTTCTATGTCTAGCTCTTAAAGTTCCCCATGTCCAGCCAACTTATCTGTCAATAGTACTGCAATACCCTAGTGTGCCCCTTGACGTTTATGTGGTGTTCTTTTGTGGTCACTGACTATTATTTGATTTTTTTTTTGTTGTTGTATCTATTGGCTTTTGTTTTATCCATAGATTGTAATTAGCAGGGTCAGCACTTTTTCCAACCAGAATCAGATCATATGGGCTGAACCAGTAACACACTGGACCTTTTATCCTCTTCATGTACATGTGTTTTGAAGAGTTTTAAAGCGACCATGGCATATAAATAAATAAAATGTATAAAGCACACATGTATCTGTAAGGAAGAGAAATATTGCTTACCTGCCCATGCCACTAAAGTCTGCTCCCCCAAAGTCTGCTTGAAAACTCAGATCTTGAGTCCCAAGGTGGAACCATTTCTCACATACGGAGCAGAGATCTTTATACAATTGACATGTATGACAGGTTTGCTTTAAGTTTCTTCATTGATTAGTGCTTGGGGGCCCTGAGCTGTTACTTTCTACCATTAGCTATGATTAGTTCTTCTGATTCAATAGATATTTACCAATATTAGTACAGTATTTGGTGGTGCCTTGTCTTAGAATATGTATCTCAGTTAGGTTTTTTTCTAATGATAACATTATTTTGTTCCAGGACAGGGTGGATTTTCATACCTCAAGGAATGGCTCTGGTGGGCTGGGCTTCTTTCAAGTAAGTCAAACAATTCTTTGTTTCCTGAGAAAATCAATGCAATAATGAATTACTTGGCTGAGCCAGCTGAATGAGACTTTCCACGTACAATACACATGTGAACAGAAGTGTGCCCTCGGTTCAGCTCTGCTTTGTTTAATCTTATTCTTATATATTGTTATTAGCGAACTTTGTGTTTTGTAGCTATCTCATGAAAGTAAAGCTGGACATGCTGCCTTATATCTCATTAATGAACACCTTTAGGCTCAATTGATTTCATTATATATAATGTAATTATTTCATGGTTTGACTGTTGACATATTCTATCCTAATTCAAAATATTAACCACTTACAAAGCCATCCACAACTCTGCCCCCGGCTATATCTCAAACTTTGTCTCTATGTATCGCACTAACCGCCCCCTCCACTCCTCCCAAGACCTCTTGCTCTCTAGCTCCCTTGTCAACTCCTCCCATGCTCGCCTACAGGACTTCACTAGAGTCTCCCCCATTCTGTGGAACTCTTTACCCCAACCTGTCCGTCTATCTCCTACTCTGACTACCTTTAGGCGTTCCCTTAAGACTCATCTCTTCAGGGAAGCTTATCCAATCTCAACCTAACCACTGAAATATCAATTTCTCAAACAATTCATCCCCACACAGCTACCTCCTCATGTATCACTTTCCCCTCCCTTTTAAATTGCAGGGCCCTCCTTACCATCTTGTCTTGAATTGTATTGTAATTGTAATGTCTTCCTTATATTGTAAAGCGCTGCGCAAACTGTTGGCGCTATTTAAATCCTGTATAATAATAATAATAATAATAATATAACAATCTCACTTTTCATTGCTAGTGGGGGCAGGAGAAGCTGCTAACTTTGCTGCATATGCATTTGCACCGGCCACTCTAGTGACCCCGCTAGGAGCATTGAGTGTTCTTATCTGGTAAGTATGGATTTTAGTAATGTAAATATTGTTGATCGCCATATCATGTCACACACACAACATTTTGTGTGTTTAATTTTCATCTGTGAGCATTTTATTCTTATTGGGTGCATATGGTACTGAGAAATTGCTGATAAACTGTCTGGCCGACTACTTGCTCCTGCCACTACTCAAGATCTTGGTCAGTATGGACACGGAGGAAACAATACAGATTGTAAAGTCTCTCTTCATGAACTACCCTAGATAGATCCCATAGAACATACATAGATTTCCCTTTGTATATAAAGCTCAGGTTTCTTCCATAGTGTCCCCCAGGGTATTACTCCATCAGGTTAAACCCAGGGTGTGTCTCTCCATGCACACTAGCAATGTAAAGTGGCTTCTAGGGCACCTAAACATCACACCATGTATCACACCATTGTGTGCAGTGATGTTGCCGTGGATCGCACTTACCAAGGACCTCGCAGCCGCATCTGCGAGAAAATTTAAAGTGCCGGTGTCAGCAGAGTGTCTTGTGTACGGGTGCCTGCTGGCTGGACACCCGTACACAAGACTCCAAACCCGGACTGTCCGGTTGAAAACCGGACGGGTGGCAACCATTGTATTAGACTGAAGAAAAGTCATATAGCTGCCATGTCAAAACAATCATAGGTCTGGATTACAGTCCAGTGAGGCCACCCATCATACTAAAGGAGCAATAGGGAAGCTCACAGGTCAGGGGTGAGCAGGGCCAAACTCATCTTTTTCAGGAGGTAATGTCGGCTTATGTATTTTTCATCATATTCACACTGAATTGCCTAAGCCTTTACAGGTTTATTTTAAGCCGATTGCTTTTACTTTGATTAAAAATACTATTTATGCTTGCAATTTAATCTGCAACCTGCTATTTTCCTGCAGTGCAGTCCTATCTTCCTATTTCCTGAATGAAAAGCTGAACATGCATGGAAAGCTCGGCTGTGTTTTGTGTATCCTTGGCTCCACCATGATGGTCATACATGCTCCTCAAGAGGAAGAGGTCACGTCTCTGCATGACCTAGAAATTAAACTAAGAGATCCAGGTTGGTATTTTGAATATCACTGCAAATTTAAAGCAATTATTTGAAGTTCCAAACTCAACTACAATTTTTTGGGTGTATTTAACCTTTAATGAAGAATAATACATACAAAACATATTATAACTGCAATTTTGGTAAAACAAAGTCCCTTGCTGTGAAAAATAAATTTTACAGGGTTTCAGTAGTTTTTAAGGTGCTCTCACAGAAGGATACAATATTTTCACATCGGCACTTCTCCACATGGAGGTTTGGCTGTCTGCAGACTTTCATGTATCCCTATCAATGAAGGATCCTGTACGGCACACCACTTGTCAACATGACAACTTTCAGCAATTTAAACTCCAATTACAATTAAAATGCAGAGGTGTCTTCACATACCTGTAGATGGTTTCCAGAGCACTCTAGGAGTCCTCATACTATTTATTATGCAAATACTTCATCTGCTGATACCTGATATCAAGCTTGAACTGATAGCGTCCTTCACCTTACTATTGGTCTATAGCTATAATGAGCAGTCAATGACAATAAGTAAGAGGGAAGAGGAGTGGGTCTAGGTTTGCATAAAAGACTCAGCGGGCTTTGGCGGCACTCTGGAAGCCATCTAAATGTATGTATATACACTTCTAAATACCTGCACTTATTTTTTCTAATGTTAATTTGTATTTGTTGTAACAGGTAGACAAAAGCAAAAAAAGAAAACCACTATTGCTTAGACTCTAATCCCTGAATTACGTGGTAGAATAGAATATACGAGGGGGAATCAAAAAGTAATGCCTGTTGAGATCAAGAATATATAGAATGAACATACAGTTAGCCAATAATTCCTCTAGTTATTCTTCCACATAGTCCCCATCACATTCGATTTATTTGCGCCATTGTTTTACCCAGGCCTCAAGTCCAGTTTGGAAAAGTTTAAGTTTTTCGGCACAAGGAGAGCTTGAATGGTGCCATTAAATGCCTTGTCAGCAATCTCAGTTTCTTCTTTTATTTCAAACTTTTTTACCCAGTGCCTAATATTGCTCATGTCAAATAACCGCATAACCATACACATTGTACAGGCACTTATAGCTCTCAACAACCAAACAAACCCTCTTTCCTCAGAAACTCAGTTACAGCACTTTGTTTTATCCTCTCATCCATAATTCACTTGGTACAATGTAAAAAAACAGAAGCACACAATGATTGAGTAAAGGTGGCTATACACCTTCCAATTATCATTTGATTTATTTCATCCCATCATCGAACCCCAGTTCGATTTCCGCTTGAATACCCCATCATGCACAGACCAATGTAGATTTCGATTATCGTTCATTAGCAATAATAACTGGCAACAGAACGGATTTTCGTTTGCACATGTGCAGTGTTCATGTTGCGATTTTTTTTCTGTACGAAAACGCAACAAATCCATAGATTTTCATACGATTCGAAAAAAGTTTTCTAGCCTGACAGACAGATGAAATTCGGCCAGGAGTACAGTAATTCTGATCATTCACTTCCCATCAACTGGGCGATTATCCTACAAAAACCTGAACTTGTTTGTTTTTCGAATGATAATCGCAAGGTGTATGGGCACCTTTAGACTATATGTATGATATATATCACGCATTTAATAATACGTAGATATGAAACACTGCAGATATGAAACAACAGACATTACTTTTTGATTCCCTCTTGTATTTCCCTGTAAAGAAGAAAGGACTAAACTAGACATATAATCCTCTCATCCACATTTTTAGCCAGATTGAACCAAATAAGGCAAAGAAAGTGAAGGGAAGTCTCCAATGGGATACTAAAAAAGTTTATTTACTATAAATACCCGTTTACTGGAAAATACTTGCCTAAGATACCTAAGATTTTCTTGCATGATCCTTATCTACTGAGATAATGGTTAGGAAAGATGGAAAATCCATTAACATGCTCACATTAAAAGCCTGCATATGTGGCCACATTGCCTGCCCCACAAAATCTAGAATTGCAGCAAAAAAACAAATGATTTAGATTTGTCGATAGCTGTGTATCAAACACCCAGATTTTAAGAGAGGCCAGACAGCTTAGGCTTATACACTGAGTGGCCAGATTATTATGACCACATGACGTTTGTAGGCAAATTAGCTATAATTTCGAGCTGAAGTTGCTAGAGGGCCAGACCATCATAAATAGGGAAGCAGGTTGTTTACCACGACAGTAGAAGTGATTTTTTTCTAAAGATACGGGTAAACAACGCGATTTAACAGCCTTTGAACGTGGGATGATTGTTGGCGCTCGGAGCCATGGAGCGAGTATCAGCAAAACAGCAGAATTCGTTAAATGTTCAAGAGCAGCTGTTGTTAAAGTGTTTAAAGAGTTGACTGTCAGCCGAAAATCTGGGTCTAAACGTGCGAATTGTGGCCGTCAGCGACTAGTCAATGTTAGGGCAGAACGGAGAGTGGCAAGACTGGTACAAGACAACAGAAGGGCAACAGTGCACCAAATTACTGCAGATCTTAATCAGGGATCCTCTCAAATGATCTCTGAACACACTGTTCACCGTACACTGCATCATATGGGATATGGAAGCCGAAGGCCTGTTCGAACATCTTTGCTGTCTACAGTTAACAAGATAAAACGTCTCTAATTCGCACATGTAACACAAGGATTGGACAGTCGGGCATTGGAAAAAAGTCATGTGGTCCGATGAATCACGTTTCCAGTTGCATCATGCAGATGGCAGAGTGAGAATTTGCTCAACCCTTCAAGCTGGTGGGGGCATGATTTGGGCCCTTTAATTCGTGTGGAACAACGTCTGAATAGCACAACATACCAAAGTATCGTTGCTGATCAAGTTCATCCTATCATGTTGATGGCATATCCCAATGGAGATGGCTTCTTCCAACAAGACAATGCGCCATGCCACGGTGCTATCAGGCAACTGGTTCCATAACCATCAAATCTCACAGAACTGGACAGTGCTATTCATCAGGCATGGTGTCAGATTCCGCGCATCACCTTTCAACATCTTGGGAAGTCAACGCCAAGAAGAATCGCCGCAGTATTGAAGGCAAAAGGTGGCCCAACAAAGTACTGATGGGGTGGTCATAATAATCTGGCCACTCAGTGTATTTATAAAACAGTTATTGTGATTTTTTTATGATTCTTTATTTAATTTTTTTTTAGAACAAATAGAAGAAAAGATAACAACAGCAGTAAATGAAAAGTACAGTAGTAATTGTACTCCCAAGCAGACCCCCGTATTCAGAGAAATCCCAGACCTGGAACCCTGAGTCCAACTTCATTGCGTAGGGCCCTAAAGAATATTGCAAGCTAACTCAGTAGGGGCTATGTAAGAGACCTGGTGTACTGACTATGACTTTGACTGCTGAGGAATCCCCTTCCAGCAGAAGAAAGCCCAACGTTTAGCATTCAATGACAGGAAATGTCATCAAAGCACATCAGTGGAGCAGGGAGTCCAATAGGAAATTTGAGAGTCAGTGGGTCTTCTCTGGGGAATGCAAAGAACGCTGCAGTGAATGTTTGGTGAATGTCAGATTTACTGCTGTGTACATATGCCCATGGTGTTTGCATCACAAACTTTATTTTCCAATTAAACGCTAAGCCTTAACCATGTTTTTACTGAGTTGCAAATTACTGATATGTAACTTGGACTAAGATATTTATTGATTTGCTTGCTTAGTTCTAACAACTGTGAAACATCTGGCAGATTTCTTGTACCCAGTTTGCTGAAATATTTCAGTATATTCATTTTAATCTCATTACATTTTTTTTCCAACAGGTTTCATTACTTTTGCTACAGTGTCAGTTGTGGCATCCCTGGTCCTTATAATAGCGGTTGCCCCCAAAAAAGGTCAAACCAACATCCTAGTTTACATCGCCATTTGTTCTATAATTGGTGCTTTCTCTGTGTCTTCTGTGAAAGGACTTGGAATCTCCATCCACGAGTTCATTGAACAGAAGCCAGTTTACAAAAACCCTCTATTTTACATCTTACTGGCTACACTGGTCCTGTCTATCAGTACACAGATAAATTATCTCAACAAAGCTCTGGATATGTTCAATACATCAATAGTGACGCCTATATATTATGTCTTCTTCACCACTATGGTGGTCACCTGTTCCGTTATATTGTTCAAGGAATGGAATAATATGAATGTTAGTGACATGATTGGGACATTGAGTGGCTTCCTTACCATTATTATTGGCATTTTTCTTCTGCATGCCTTTAAGAACACCAATATTACATGGAGTCAGATCACCTCTACCATCAGCAAAGACAAACAGACAGTTCTGGATGGACAGGAAGACCAACAAAGCCTGCTTGGGAACGCAGAACATTCTATATTGGCATTTGAGGATGATATTGCCATCTACAGTAGGACAAGCCAACAGCACTGACTAAGCTCCATGGCTGGAAGATTTGTATTTACTTATTATGTTTGTGTGTACCTTGCAGTGTTGAGGTAGAAGATTTGTACTCATTTTATATTCTTTAAGTGCACGGACTTTTGTGCTTCTTATTTTCAGATCTCAGGAAGTGAAACTAATTGTATATTTTGTATATAGACAGAGGAATAAATATTTTCAAATAAATTATCTATTTTTAATGGTTAATAAACCATAAAATTATATATTTTAGTACAAATAACAAAATAACAACAAGTAGAAGAACAAAATTGATGACATTAACATAAATATATACATATGCAGCCGTATATATTTCTTACAGACACAAATTACAAAATCTCTTTCTTCTCTTCATTATCTTTGCATTATATGCGTTACATTCACCTCTTTACCTTGTCGTAATCATTACCCATTATTTATGTCTATTATCTAGACTTTCATATACCTAAACTCACTACCAACCCCTAATTAGAGGTTGATTTCTCTCACCACTTCAACATACATTTATTTATTACCCCCAAAAATGTATTTATTTACTCAAGACTCATCTATTGGGTATTATAACTTAAACAATGTTCAGAATACATTACACATTATTCCATAATTACTATATCTCGCCCAACCTGATCAAACATGGAAGAGGAAGAATTTACTGATATTCCTTCTTATTTGTGCTTATTGTTGTGTTTACCCTTCCAAATCTCTTTTGTGGTCTACTTTCTCTATGTGCGTGTACTAAACAGAGTACTTACTAGTACATACTTAGTGGTTCGGTCCGCTGTCTCCCTTCCCCCTAACCCCACCATTATCTGTAATTGTTTATTCTTCCCAATTGTACTTTGTGTCAGGGTACCCTGCACAGGCGTTCTCACACCACATGCTTGTACCCACGCAGGATGACCAAATTAATATGCCCACACAGGATAGGGTTATATGCACAGTTTATTGGTTCCACATCAACAAAACTACAAACCCAACAAAGAGGGGTAACAGGCCTGCAGATGTACAGCAGGCCTTGGGATACAAGAAGAGTGGTCAGGTACAAGCCGAGTCGTTAACAGGAAGGCAGCGCGGTACAGGAACAGGATTCAATGGAGAGTGGTCGGGTAACAAGCCGTGTCGGTGACAGGTTTTCAGATAGGAAGCAAGGTTCAGGACATGGGAATCAGTCAGGTTTAGCAACACAATACTGACCCAGCTTCCTGACTGCAGGGAGGGTCTAAATACCCTCCCAGGAAGCACCAGGTAATGGGATGATCAGTCACAGCTGGGGCACACCCACAGGTGAGTACCAGAGCTGCAGGTTCCTTACAGTTCCTGGCTGCTGGAGACACCCGCAGGCGAGTACAGGAACTGCAGGACACGGCTCCAGCGCCACCTGGGGGTGCCCTGGATCCTGACACTTTGCCCCCCCCTCCTATTTCTTATGTGACCTTGTTTATAAATTTAGTGTTCATCTCCCCTACCTCTCCCCTCCTTTACCCTACAATTTAGTTCTCTCCTTTCTTTGATCAGGTCCAGATCTGAGCAATTTTATCCTATTCCTCAGCCCCATATCATTGTGTTCAAAATATACCTATGAGAAACACTAATTAACTATAGTAAAGAGAAAAGAAAAAAATAAAAGTGTTGAGGTAGAAGATTTGCACTCATTATATTCTTTAGGTGTACATACTTTTGTGCTTCTTATTTTCACACCTCAGAAAGTGAAACTAATTGTACATTTTGTATATAGACAGAGGAATTAATATTTTCAAATAAATTATCTATTTTAAGCGAAGTATATATTTTAAAAGATCTCTTTCATTTTCAAAGACTTCAGAACAATTTCTGAAATGTGTTTTATTTGATGATACTTTGAATGATTGTATGGAATTTGCTTTAACAAAGTATCTCCTAGACCAGCCAGAGGTACTCTGCGGGGACATACCATTGGTTGGAAATCTATGAAGATTAATGGACTGATCTGGCTTACCATGGTCTGCTCAGCCTCCATCAACCACTAGTCAATGCATACATATGGCTACTTACAGTATATGGCAATGGATGACCAGTACACAGATAAATGATCTCAACAAAGCTCTGGATATGTTCAATACAACAATGGATGTATTGAACATATTAAAATGTGTCTAGCCAAAAGCTTTTCTGACATAAATGTTATGAGGTGGGTGAGTGATTGCAAACTTGGATCATTTCTTAGTTGACTTTATGTGTTACAGGCTGGCACATAGATAACAAGTGACCCAATCCATACGGTTTCCATGTTAAATAGTTTGTCTTACTGCAGCAAATAGAAGCAAAATCCCAGCTCAAAGAAGGAATAAATTAAATAAGTAATAAGCTAAATCTAGTGCCCCTTCCATGTCTAGCCACATGGCGTGCAATGAAGAGAGGGCGGTTGATGTTCAAGCAGTCAGGCAGTGATTCGCTGGTCATGTGGTCAGGTGAGAGCACATGATCGTTGAATGCCACACCAAATAACGAGGCACTGGAAGGTGCCAAACATAGCTTTTTACCAGCAAAAGATACCTTTTTCTACTCTGATGTTCACCTGAATTTATATACGGGGGGATGTCAGTCAAATAACTATATTTTACTTTCCCCGTTATAGAAAAAAACAAGTAATCTCTCTCTACAGAAATGTTTGCAGAGACCGAGCAAGGTAGTTTGCTGGTATGAGCTGTCAGTGTTGGATGGTAAACACGAAGCCCAAACTGAAATCTTGTATGTTATCTTGTATAGTTTATATTTGTTTAACAGTGTTCATCACTCAGCAAAGGGACATTATACTGACATTACCTGCTGCACCTGTACATGCTAATGTACATAAATGTCTGCTGTCAAATCTGCCTTTTGTGTCATTTACCTAACATTTGCTAAAAAAAAAAATCTTTCTACAACAATGCTAAAAGTGTCCAAGGGAACTTGTTGTTAAAGGAAACATGCACTGAGAGAAACGTGAAGGCTGCTATTGCTAACCTTCTTCTGAAAATGCTAGATGTCTGGCTTTCCCTGGGTTTAAGGGAAATCCAAAAGATGTGAGAACTCCTGATTTCCATACTGGCTAGGTCTGTGATTCTGAGAGTAACAAAGCTTCCAAATCTGCATAACATCCAGGTGGCTAGTATTCACAGAAGTGACAACCTCCATAGTTCCTTAGTACAAGGTTCTATTCACTTCCAATCAGTCCTTCAGATCCCTTCATTCAACACTGCGATCCACTGTTCAGTGATGTTGTATGCATACAGTACAGCATTGGCTTATGCATGCTGTATCAGCAGAGAACAATTGCCAATTAGCTATACTTTCATGCCCAATGACTATCCTTTGACTGTGATGTTAGTTTCCTAATGCATTCTGCGTTAATTATTTCAACCCCATTTATAGTACAAAAAACCATCACACACACACAGACACACGTATATCATTCATTCACAGATCTATTTACAGTGTCTGTGAATTAAAAAAACTACAAGTCTTGTCTACCACTGCAGCAGAGGGAGTAATAGCGTTGAGCTTCATAGCCAAAGGTCCATACCTCCAGATAGACCAGGTACAGACCAGGAGCTGGAAGAACAGTATGCAGGAGCGTGTCGTGGCTGCAATCCTTTGCAGGCTCCAATGCAAAAATAAATAAACAAATTTTTTTTTCTTTTACGAATATGGGTGCATTTTATTTACAGTAATACCTTGGTTTACAAGTAACTTGGTTTGCGAGTGTTTTGCAAGACAAGCAAACATTTCTGAAAAATGTTGCCTTAATATACGAGCGATGTCTTGCAATACGAACAGGTTGTAAAAAAGCACCACCCGAATAAGGCTGTAGCATTGCGAGCGATGAATCTGTTTAACGACAGCGCAATGTCACATTTCCGCAAAATCCTCAAAAGGAGGCAACAGCAAGTGTCATTGAATAGATTCCTTGTTAAGGTTTCACTACATGAAAAAGATTCCATTGAGCCAAGAGATAGCAGTGATTCCGTTGATAGTGAAAGTCGTCCTACACAATAATTTTCCTCTCTCTTGTCCCCCTCACACCAGCCACGAAGGTACCTGTAATTGGTTTATTTTTCTTTATATTTTGTATTATATTACATTATTGTAATCATGTTTATATGAATATTTTTGGGTTGTGGAACGAATCATCTGAGTTTCCATTATTTCCTATGGGGAAATTCGCTTTGATATACAAGCGCTTTGGATTACAAGCATGCTTCCGGAACCAATTAGGCTCGTAAACCAAGGTATTACTGTATTTTATTTTTTGCAAAGGGTGCAATATGAGTTTAAAATGATAGTGTGATAATGCTGAGTTGACCAAAGGCAGCTCTGTAAATCTGTGATGCCCTCTAGTGGTGTATCATATGAATGTTTGATGATTTCCTAGGAAGTGTGAGCTTACTCAGGCCAAGACGTTTTATTTTAATTCAGTCTGCTAAATTCTAGTGTAACTTATTGGCTTGAACATTCATTCGAGGTTCATATACTTCCATGATATTTACATATTTCTCCTCAATCATCTTTATTCTCTCAGTACTAATATAATCCCAGTTTGAATCAAACCCATAGTTTAATGCTTTCCAACACAAGGATGGTGGCTGTGTGCTATCAACATCAATGTATGCCAGAGGGTGGCTCAACTCTGTTAACAAATGTTATATATTGTTTTTTATTATTATTATTATTATTTGTATATTATTAACAATAATTTTTCTATATTTATGCAATTGTGATGAAAATTTTAATTACACTCTGGTGTTCTTGCCAAACAAATAGAAAACACTTGATGTTTTTTGCCTCATCTACTTTAATGCAGTGATGGACTACAATCTCAATACAAATTAGTAAACTAAACATGAGATTGTAGTCCATCACGGGAGTGAGCTTGGAGCAGTGACTACTTTACAACACACACAGGGATCATGGGGAACAAAAGTAGCCACCCTCCAGGATGAAGGACAGTGTCAACACCAATTCAGAGATGATTTGAGGATCTACAGCCGAGTGCTATACAAATAA